TCCATCCCCAGTGGGGAGATCCAAGTGGGCTCCAGCTGTCATCTTCCTGGCGTTGTTGTGCTAAAACAAAGTATGTCCTGCCTCGTTGGGTCAGCCAGGGTCACCTACACGCTCTGCTGTGGGGGTGAGTAGTCAACAGTACTTGATAATCCTTTTCCAGTTAGCAGACAGGGGGTCAGTGTCCCACCTTTGAGCACAGACTTAGTCCCCAAGTTGGTACAGAGGAACAGGAGAGTCCAGTCTTATGGGTCTGGACAACACGATGAGTCTCTGAAGTTTCTGCAAACCAGAGTCTGAACTATTAAAAAATTTTTTCAAAGGAATTTCAAATTTCAGAATGTTTGTATTTTGATTGTATAAGAGGGATTTACCTTTTATAGTATGAAGTGGTTGACTGCCAGTCACAAATCTACGGGCCTGTCAGGAGCTCAGCACAGGCAATGTGTGTCTGGAGTGTGATGCAACACCAAACAACATCCTGGTCTTACCAATTACTCCCACAGAGAGCTTGAACCCTCAGGACAGATTCCAGTCCTCATCCAGGGCCAGTTGTCCTGCCACGGTCTGCCCCTGACTGCAGTCAATCCCCTCTGCCTCGTGGAGTGACAGTGCAGGTATCTCTTGCGTCCACGCTATTAAAGAATTTTCATCCATACCAAAATGCTGGTGTAACTGTTATTATGGCAAACTAATCAGTACCACACTGGCTGCTGACTTTGGCATCTTCACAGTAACTATACTGGTGGGAGTCTAAAAAAACTATTTCTGCTGAAACAAATCCAAGAGGCATACAAAGCATGAAGAAAGTATCCAGGACATGATCAAAATTCACTTAACCAGGGTATTCACTACAGCAAGGCACAAGCAAGACAAATCATTTAAACTCCTTTAACAAACCATCAAGCTGTAATATTACCAATTCATCTCAAAGATTGCAGGGGAGATGGGGGCCAGGGCCCATGGAGGGGCTCCCCCACAAACATCAGTCCTTCATTTGCAGCCTTGCCAACCAGCCACTTTCTCGCTCTCTAGCCCAGGACTCTTCTTCTGTGAGGCTCAGCACCTCAAGCATCGTTATCTCCCAATCACACAGAATCCTGTGTGGACTCATAAACCAAAAGGTCTCTTTCAGATGCTGCAGCAATCAGAGAGGAGACAGGGATATTCCAAACAATTCTTGCCACCTGCTGTAAAACTACTGGGACAAAACGTATACAAATATGAGCATTGCAAAACAATCAGTGTAACAAAGCAATACCAGTTTTCAATTCTAGAAGAGAATGAAAGGTAACTGAAATATAATAATCAATAATCACAGTATTGTCTGGTATTTTGACAGTATTTTGAACTGTATTAGCTGTCCATCCTTTTAAAGTCTTTCTAGTTTGGATACTAAAGAGTGAGTTTGCTGAATATATCTCTAAAGCACAGGGAGACATCTTTGAAAGTCACCTGATTCAGAATTTTTAGTTTGTTTTCAAATTCCAGCCAAATTCATAATACAATTCAATAATCTTCTTTACTAGAGCCAAATGCAAGCTCTGGCTCCAACTCTGATTTTTGCTTACCAGCAATACAAACAATACATACAGAAAAGAGCAATTTAAACCCCACTGTTGGTGCTCTCCTCTGAGAAGCAGAGACCTTCTTAGCCCCAGAGTAGCAGGTCCAGGGACCCGGCTGGGCAAGAGACCTGCTATGCAAAAAAAGAACAACCAGCCCCATTTTGTTATTCAAGACGACACCAAGTTGTTAAAAATGTGTGCAGCTGCCACCCCTGGGACCAATCCCCTTGGCCAATGTATCCATGGCCTGCTCTGAGTGGGCCAGTGCAGGAGGACTCATGGCTGTGGCTGTTGGACCATCCGGGCGTGTTTGCTCAGACACAGGAATGAGGGAACAGAGGAGAACGGGGGCAAAGAGGTTCTCAACCATCACCCCCAAGTTCCGAAAGACCCCCTGAGCAGGGGAAGGAGATGGAGCACGGGACAGGGTGGGGGAGCACAGGCAGGCCATGCACCTTCAGGGTGTCCCTGGGGTTACAGGGGGGTGCATCTCATTTCCCCCCACCCCAGTGGCATTTTCCAACTGCGGCACCGGCTCACGCGTGACCACCACGCGACCCGAAACCACGACAGCTCATGAGACCAACCTCGTGCCAGCAATGGCTCTGGTGTATCTTCTCCAGAAGGCAAGTTCCCAACAGTGAAACCATACAGTCTTTCCCA